CTCGATCGTTCAGGGCCACCATCCCCGCGATGGCGGTCCTGTTGTCAGCCCTCACGAAATTTGACTTGGCAAACGGGGTGAAAAAAATAACTGGAGCTGTTTGTGGAGAACTTTTAGGAGTTAATGGGAGGTCTAAAAGTAGGGATGTGTTAATTTTTTTAGAAGCGTCGCTGGCATTGGCGAATGAAGTGCCGACCGGTACTTCATCGGCACACAAGCCACTCATGTACGTCTGCGTGTATTTATTATTGCTGCTGTTGTTGAAGAGTTTGCTGGAGCCTGGTCCGTGGCCGGTTGGGCTGACTTTCTGCAGACGGTTCTTTTCGGCTTCCTTTCTTTTGTCTCCGCAATAAAATCTTCCTGGCTTGCACCTATAAAACGCCCAGAGGGTTGAGCTTGCAAACAACAACAGCGCCAGTAATGTACCTGTAACCGCAATAACTCGAGTATTCTCTAGTGCATCGTCATCAACGTACCGATCTATTAGTCGGTATCGCTTGCGATCCTGTGTCGAAGCAGCAACTTCGGGAGGCGAGCCCTTCGGGTCGATGAGGACTCCCGTCATGGAGATGGAAGCAGGGTAGATGTATACCCCCATGCTCTCCAACAAGCTCTCGTTTGTAACTCGTGATTTCCAAACTACTCCTGCCCCACCGAGTTCTTTGAGGTACTCCTTATATTCTTTATCGTTCTCGTCGTCGTCATCCAAACTTTTGCTTCTGTCAGTTTGTGTGACGTCACTGTTGTCGTCATCATCGTTGTTGAGGATGTTTTTCCCATCATGTTTGTCGCCGTTATTTTTGCTCGGTGGTATTCCATTTTTCTGATGTTGGTGGCTGTGGTAATGTTTTTTTGTTGTTTGGAATGAGTGGTCGGTGCCGCTGTGTTCCTTGCTTCCATTCAACTTCTTGTCGTCACCGCCATCCTTGTTGCCGCTGTCACCAATGACGTCATCCTTGCTTCCTCCATCCGGTCTGTTGGCAGTTTTCAAAAGTGAATGGTTGAAATTAATTACTGAAACAAGTTAAATCGAAACTATCAAACTCTAAATCGAAACTATCAAATCCTAAATCGAAACTTTCAAATCCTAAATCGAAACTATCAAATCCTAAATCGATACCATCAAATCCTAAATCGAAACTATCAAATCCTAAATCGAAACTATCAAACTATAATTTGAAAATTTCCATAACTTTCTGTTCAGTTCAATTTTCATTAACACAAAACATACACTAAATCGTTACCAACTTTATCAAATCATTTATCATACGTTATCTGTAATACACACGTTCAACTAATCCAACATAACGTTCTATATTACTACACCATCACCATTTCAATAACCTTCATCATCTTTCTACTTCATCATCACTCACTCTATCATTCTAGGGCCTCTGTCTTCACCACCATCCGGGCCAATCAGTTGGAATGGAGGCTCTAACTGAATGACGTCGCCAAGGGTCTCCACAGATATATCACCATCGTTATCATCTTCATCATCATTTGGGGAATTGTTGTCATAAGTATTATTATTATTGTTGTTGTTGTTGTTGTTGTTGTTGTTGTTGTTATTATCAATTTCGTTTGAAACTTTGTAAGCTTTTTTGAATAGTTTCAATCCATTGTAGAAGAGTCCTTATTTGAAAAAAACATGATTAAATCTTCATCGTCGTCGTCGTCGCCATCATTTTAATAACATTTTATATTTTTGAAATTATCGACATTTTTATCATCATCATCATCGTTGAGACATCATAAATCAAAAATCATCATCATTATCATCATCACTATCACCATCATTATCAACATCATCATCAATGAAACATCCTAAACCAATCATCGTTATTAGTATCATCATCATCATAATCACTACCATCATCATCATCGTCATCATCATCGAGAACACTATCATCATCGTCATCATCGCCATCGTCATCATCATCATCATCGCCATCATCACCATCGTCATCTTCGTCATTGTTATCATAACCTGATATAATTCCTCGAAATGGCTGAATGAGTTCACCATCGTAATTATCATTATCGGCCCCAACCTTGATGGTGGTTAACTGGTGGAAAACTGGTTTTAGTAGAAATAATAAAAGTTACATTGTTATTATTAATTGTTTGAAATATAATATTAAAGTAATAGTAATAATATTTATTCATTCGTTCGTTCGTTCATTCATTCATTCATTCATTCATTCATTTACTCATTCATTTACTCATTCATTTACTCATTCATTCATTCATTCATTCATTCATTCATTCATTCATTCATTCATTCATTCATTCATTCATTCATTCATTCATTCATTCATTCATTCATTCATTCATTCATTCATTCATTCATTCATTCATTCATTCATTCATTCATTCGTTCGTTCGTTCGTTCGTTCGTTCGTTCATTCATTCATTCATTCATTCATTCATAATTTAAAAGCACCTGTTTTAAATTGAATGCCGGATCTGCGTTGATGAACATGACGACGACGACAATGATGATAATGATCTGTTCCATCATCATCATCACCATCATCATCATCATCACCATCATCATCATCATCATCATTATAAAAATCTTCATCACCAGTAGCATCATATCTACTATGATCGTCACCATCTTGAACGTAGTCATAGTTATTTGCGTTATCATCACCACCATCATCATTTCTGTCATAACCACCATCATTGCTGTTGTTATCTTTGTATGTGCTTCGATGGATGTTATTTTTTCCATATTTATCATCATCGTCATCATCATTATAATTATTGTCTTTTTCTTCACCATCATTATCATAACTGTCATCATCGTCGTCGTCCTCGTCGTCGTCTTCATCATCATCACCATCATCATCATCATCTCGCACGTAAACGTTTGTGACGCTACCGCGTCGTATTATGGAGATGATGTGTGGCGATGAGTCGCTAACGAACGGTGGTGACGACGACGACGATGATGGTGATGATGACGACGACGATGATGGTGATGATGATGATGGTGATGATGATGATGATGACGGTGGGTAGTAGTTGGAAGAATAAGTTATTCCTGCCAAGCTTGTAAATACCTGCACTCTGCCGTTCACCTAGATAGGTATGATGATGATGATGATGACGATGATGATGATGATGTTGATGATTATAAAGGCGATGATGATGATGACGATGACCATAATTATGATGACTATGTTGATGTTGATTTTCAATAATAAGTTATCTAGATAATCAATTATTATTTATCTAACTCTTAATTAATTAGTCACTAACCAGTTTCACTTCCAAATAATCCGTAGTTTTCGTACTCTCAACTTTCAAGATGGTGGCATCTGACTGCCTGGTCACGAGACCAAAGGCTATGACGTCACGAACCGAATCGATCGGAGTCGCTAGTTTGAATTGCATCTGACTATTGTTTCCGGTCGAGCCGAAATAGTAAGCTTCCGGTTCTGGCGATGCATTTATTTTGAAATTAATTATGTAGCGCTAAGTTTTATAAAAATTAAAAACGATTAATGTACTGAAAGCATAAATCCCATAAAGTCACAGGCAAACGCGCAAAAACTTACAAACACACACACATAAAAACACACACAAACAAACAAACACACACAAACAAACACACACACATAAAAACACACACACACAAACAAACACACATACATACAAACTAATGATTTATGTTAGAACCTTTGTCACATGTTTTTCCCTCTTTGCTAGTCAGTCTGCAATCACAAACAGCCCTGCGCAGTCTTTCAATACAGATTCCGCCATTTTTGCAGTATTTTGGACGACAGTACATTTTACTGCTACCTTAAATCAGCCAATTAATTAATAACAATTACACAATTGACTATCATAATTAATTAATTAGTTAATTAATTAATTAATTAACTTAAATTGATTAACTATTCGTGTTAAATTTTACCTGAAAATAAAAAACCTTACCAATACACCCATATGCTAAGACGCTCTCTTCATCGTCGTCATAATATTCACCTCCACCGGCTTTTAAAATTTTCTTCAATAAATTTATTCCATCATCCTCGTCATCATCGTCGTCATTATCAATACTATTACTATCGTAATCACTTTCAAAATTTATCATATTACTACTTTTACTACTGCTACTACTGCTGCTGCTGTGGCTACTACTGCTACTACTACTATTACTAGCAATGTTTCTTTTGCTTTCATAATTGGTGTTGATGGTGTCTGATATGCCGTGCCAGCCAGCGTGGATGTTGTTTAAGTAGAGAGAAGCTAGACAGCCGTGAAAATTTGTAGCTACTAAATTTTTATTATTCATATTATTATAGTTATTATTATTATAATAATTGTTTTTAATAATATTTTTGTTATTATTGTTAAATTTTTTATTTTTCTGAGACTTTGGCACGCCACCTATATAAAATACTTTGGAGAAATGTAAATTTTTTGAGGTAGTCATATTACAAAAATTATTATTGTCATTTCTGTTAATATTATTGTTCTTGTTGTTGTTATGGCTGTTCTTGCTGCTATTGTTGTTGTTGTTGTTGTTGTTATTGTTGTCATCATCGTCATCAATAACACTAAGTTGAAACTCGTTGTAGCTTTGATTCATTTCAAATTTGAGTGAATACCATTTGTTCACTTTTAAACTTCTTTCTACAAAGCTCGTCTATTGGATTCAATTGGAGGGAATTATTTTTAAATTTTGGAAAATTAATCCATGAACATATTGAAACAAACATTAAAGTGTAGAAAAATTGATACAAACACGACAATTACAACAAAATTATTGTCTATCGACAGCTTAAAGCACTTAAGCTTTTTTAATTTTCAGCTATTTCATAAATATTATTTTTCAATTTATATATATTCTTTTAAATCTTAGAGGCGTTCACAGCAAACATAGGCGAGCCATCACATCATGCACATGGTATTGTATGTGATTGGTGAGGATATCTTAGCATTCAAACCCGTGACTGCAACAGCAAAACAAGCGGCTTTAACCATTATACCACCTCACCAATGCCGGCTAAAAATTTCATTTTGTCCCCAAATAAGTTGATTAATCTAAGAAACAAAAAAGACCAATAAGCAACAACACCTACTTCTAATTTATTACCATCGTAGGAACTCAATGCAAGTTTATCATTTTCAATCTTCACCATCAACCAAATGCTCTCCATATCACCATCGTCATTGTCGTCGTTGAAGTAGCTGCTGTTGCCACTGAAAAATAATAACGTCTGTTTTGTAGTTGGAAATTTATCTGAGAAGCGAAAGAGAAATGAGATGGCGAATATATCGTTGGATTCATTTATGACATTGCTTGGAATTTTCAGGACATAATTCATAAGAGTTATCGGCTTAATCGGTAAAATCTTTTCACTATGAACTGTTTTAACGTTGTGCTCTATTAACTTGAATGCCGATGTTTGTCGGTTAATATCGATCCGTGAGTCAACGCCGAAGGAATCGAATAAGAATTGACCGTCAAATACAAAACTACCGATATACCCAATGAAATAACCAAATGTGTTGTGAGATCTAAAATCGAGTCGGCGTTTGGCGGTACGCTGATTTGCCGCGTGATGATGCTGAGCAGTTGCGTGTACTTTTTGGTGAGAATGTGGTTTTGGTGGCGTTACAGGTGGTGTTGCATCGGCTGGTGTTTCTGGTATCTTATAGCCACCGATTATGATTTCATCAACTTCTAAACTATAACCTTCTCCTTGAAGCTGAGCTGTTGGTATTTTTATTTAATAACTTTTTAAAAATTATATCTTTTTGTAAATTCTAAAAGTTTTATTTTTTAAGAATTCGCAGCACTATTGTTAACTATTTATGAATAAGTATAATAGTTTATGTTAATTAATCTTAATTTATGTTGATTAAACAAAATAAGCTACCTTCATCTGGAAGACACCTGTCAATTTGAACGAACAACCAATCAGCTTTTTTCACGAGAGTGACGTCATGCCAGTTGTTGTCATTTAATTTCGTTTGTTCTGTTTTCGCGGTCGTATTCGTTGAGCGCTCAAGACATCGGTATGAATGTCTGAAGAGCTACAAGAAAGAAGTTTAAAATTTTAATAAAATTTAATATTGTTATTAATTATTTCGAATAATTTGAACACATTTTTAGAAATAAATCAACTAATTATTGAAACATACTCTCATGTGTTCACCGAATTTTGCTTCAACGTACAGCTTTCCGTCTTTTAAAATCGTTTCGATGAAGTTATCCGACCGATCGGCTTTCGTTTTGAAGATCATCCCATCTTTTTCTGTTGTCTTGAATCGCAAGGATATCTTGCTGAGGTGTCTCGAGTTCGTCGTCGAAGAACGAAAGTACACAAAGTTTTCGCCAGCCAGTGCAATCTTTACAGCCTCTGCATACATATTTAAACGCGTATAAATGTTTTTTAAACTTTACAAAAAAGATTCTTTCAACAGGCATAGCTACAATGCGAGATAATGCTGTACAGTATTTTACTCACCTTTTTCACATCGACTCCCCGAATAAGAAGTTTTTGAACAATCACATTCAAAATCTTCGGTCCTGTCGAGACATTTCCCGGCATTGCACTTGTTATGCACGCACCTGCTTGGCACTATTTCACAACCATTCAGAGCTTTAGTCAGTCCCTGATTAATTGCTAGTCTGTATAAGTCAATCGGTAGTTCAAAATCACCTACCTCGTCGTACAAGTTGTCACTTTTGCTGCCCGTGTCGCTACTGCTTCGGCTGCTGCCAATATTATTAACATTAGTAACAATAGCATTTTTAGAAACATTTTCAATTTCGTTACTGCTTTTTTTATTTTTGCTGAAATTTTGTTCGTGTTGAAGGGTATCGTCGTCCCTTTTCATTTCATAATCTTCATCATCTTGAATGGCATCGTATTGACTGCTGATTCCGCTGCTGTATTCGTTCTGTTCATCATTCGTCGTCGAATGATGAGCCATTTGAATCATCGGAGGTGTCGTAACGTTGAACTTGGGCGTTTTCTTTCCACCACTCAATCTGACACCCCAGATGCAGCCGTGAAAGAAAGGAAACTTATTATCGATAGCTTCTCTATTCCAAACGTGCCAGGGGAGTCTGTTTATGTTGTCCACCCCTCCGAGGTAGGTGAACGTGCCCAGATGGTGAAATGGATTCAACTTTTTCAGTAAAGTGTAGGAGCGACTCGAGTTGTCTAGCGTTAGTCTGAAAGCGGCAGTTGATCGTAAACGTTTTTGACAATTCGAAATTATTTTTAAAGAATTTTTGTGTAAAACTTGTGTAAGCATTGTTTAAAAATTGGTATCTGGGATGAAACTAAAAATTTTTAAAGTTCAAGTTAACATTTAATCAATTTTTTGAAAAGGTAATCATTTTTTTTACATAAAGCAGTCAAAACTGCAACAAAAAACTAACGAACGAACAAATAAACAAACCTCATCATGGCCCCGACCAGTTCAATTTTAACAAAATGCCCGGCCCCATCACTCACAAATATGCTAGATTGGTTTTCCTTTCGGAACTCGTCACTATCAACACTAACTTTGTTCAGTCCTAATTTAATTCTGCTGGCCCTAAACAATCCAGAGTCGTAAATTGCAAAAAGGTATCCTTCAGAAATCTCGAGAACCAGAAAATCAGAATACCCTGGACTTCCTCCGCTGTACAACAGCAGTGAATCTTGCACGAAAGTTTTGAAATTTAATTCTATGAAGGGAATTGTTTGGAAATTGCTTACTTTTTTAGAACCACTCGGTTCTAAAATTATATTTTTTTGCTTTTTATTGAACTCTCTATTGTGATTGTTGACAGTTTTGTCGACCTCGATATGGTCACTTGCGATAAATTTAGTTTCCCATTTCGGTAGTCTTAAAAACTCATTACCAAATAAGGTTATCGCGTTGACGTTTGCCGCCTCCCTACTTGGGGACATGCCCATGACAGCGTTTCCACGTACACGGAGGAAATCTAACGATGGTTTGATGAAAACGGCTTCGATGAAATCAATTTTTCTCATGAAAATGGAGTTTCTGTAGGTCAGCGAGTCTATGGAACCTCTGAAATTGTTCCTCAGTTGCCTGTTCATTATGTCTTCTAATTTGTAGTGACCACCGATGTACAGTTCGCCATGCTTCAATAACTTTGTGTTGTTTTTAAGCATCACCGCGTGAATTAAGCCATCGACGTTGATTTTTATCTAAAATATTAATTAATTAATTAATTAATTAACCACAGTATTACTACATTATTTTTAATTTAGTGAAATTTCACTCGAGTTGAAATAAAAATTTTAATTGTCAAAAAATCTTTTACAGTGAGAACAAGACGCTAACAGATCGATCAACTCTCGTGACCGTGACCTCATGCCACGCCTGGGTATCGTACTTTACATGGTGATCATCGTGACCTTTGAACTTCTCAGGCACTAATTCGCCGTAGTTTACAACTAGCAACAATTTTCCACCCTGTGTTCATGTGCATTTTTTTATGACTAAATAAATCTATTTCAATTCGTGTTTTTGTATTTATCATGAAACGTAGTGTTAACAAAACCACACATTAGCATTTAGTTTGACGCATATGTGTGCATGTATATAAAGAAGCAACATCGAACCAACCTTGACACACAAGTATACGTGATTTTTTGCAGATCCGCTAAAATATATCAATCCGTTTTGATCTGTAGCCTTCAGTTTGATTGCCACTTCTTCATAATCTGGTGAAAAAATTATTTCTACCGTTTTGAATGATTTGAATAAAAAAATTAAAATAAATTCTAAACTTATACTCACAGAAATGGTGTAAAAATACATTACAGGCAAAATATTTCTGTTAAATACTTTTTGAAATTATTTTTTTTTTATTAAAAAAAACAATTTAAAACCAAACATAACTAACTATCTTCATTGTTATAATTTCCCCGGTTACGATCAACAACAGCCTTGTCATCATTATTTTGAATGTTGTAAATTTTAAGTAAATTTTCGTAGTTTAGATCGTACTGGATGTAAGAGTGGCCATCAAAAGTTAGCATGCGTCTATGGAAGGGTCTGTAAACTTGCTGATGAGAGCCTAGATATCTGGGATTTTGAGAAGGAACTTGGTGGAGATGAGAGTGACCGGAAGGAAAGGATGTGAAATGCTGCAGGCTTTTGTTTTGTTGTTTTTTATCCAAATTTTTTCCACTTCTTGATGTGGTTGGCTGTTGCTTCTTTTGGTTTTTATTGTCGGTTAATCTTGAAATATCTGAGATGTGACGTGACGAGAGTGGTGAAACTGTTAAATCGTCTTAACAAATAATAATTGGCGACTCATTTACAGTGTTTAAAATAATAATAATTGATATTTTTAATTATTAAATAAATTTTAAAATAAAAAAAAACAATGGAAGAAAGAAAGTCAAAATTTAACAAAAATCCACCATTAAACCTTCATCATCTTCGGCATCATCTCCGCCACTAGATCTTTCCTTACTGAAATCGCCGACTTTCTCTAGACTCTCTTTATCTCCTTCCCAGAATTCCACGTCGTCAAAAATAGCGTTAGCATAGTACTCATACTTCATGCTGGTGTCCGCGTGGCCAATGAGATAGCGTCTCGAACGCTGGTAGTCGAATTCGTTCGTTGTCGGGTTCGAATTCTGGCCAACTTTTGTGTTGTTTATGTACAAGGAAGCACCTTTTAATGGATGCCATGTTATTTCAATCTGAGTTGGTGGGCGTTGTGGTTGAGAAATTTGTTCTTTGCTCGCGATGGTTTCAGTGTTTTAATTAATTCAGAAATTATTAAATTTCTAATTTATTTTATTAAATATATATTCTTATGTTACTCGATTTGATTGAAACATGTTTGTATTGCAGTTTGTTAACCTTGAATTAAACAATCCTTTACAAATTAAACGAATAAATAATGTTTTATTTTATTTATTATTTTATATTCTTATTTAAAGACAAGAATAGTTTGATTAATACACACATTATTCCATGATCCCAGCTTGAATTTCGGACTCATGACCGTCCACTGCTTTGTTTTGTTCCTAACCAGGCATATCAAATTTCCTCTTTCGTAATAAACCTCCACCAATGGTGAAGCCACAAAATATGTCAAATCTAATAATAGAAACGGCTTGACCTTGAACTTCACCGTAATACCCCTGATGCAGTTATCGAGGTCAGACTTACAGATGACGTCACGCCCGAGGTCAAGGTATTGGTTGAGGCCGTTGAGTAGCAGACCATTCCCTTGATAGCCAGCAACCACTTTGGGAGAATTATGCACGGAAGCGGTGTGTGATTGGTGGAAGATCATGTCTTTCTCTATCTTCTCCATATCCAGTTTGAATCCAGAGATGTCTGTTGGTTTGGATGGTTTGTTTTTATAGCTATTTTAATATATTTTGTTTGAGTTATTTTTCAAGAAATTAAAATTAATATCACGCATTTCAAACATTGACTAAAAATTAGCTGTATATGCAAATATGTTGTTTCATAGTGGAATGAATTTGCAGTTGAACCAGGTTGCCGCGCGTGTGATTTAAAAGTACGCAGAAAATTATATTTTGCTCTGCTTTTTGTCAAGGGAGACAGCTTATATGCAGTTTGTTCAAAGTTGAAAACATGAAAAAACAAATCAGTCTAACAACTGCTTGGTTCATTTCAGTAACATTTTATAATTCATGTTTCTAGCTACTGTGACAAACTTGTGAATTTTGTAATGTTTCTAATGGCTATCTTGATTTTATTTTTTGCAATAATTATTTTATTTCTCGAGTTATTTTTATTAATTGAAATGATTATTAAAAATCTTAATACGAAAATATATGCTAACAAACATGTAAAAACGATAAACTGCATAGAGATCTAACGATTTGAAACGAAATAATAACACATAAAGAGATTGGCATATGCTGACGTAACATAACAACACAACATGAAACAAATTATCTATTTGCTCATGTCTTAAATGTTTAAAAATAAACTGTACTTTGCAATTCATATAAAAAAATGTTGAAAAATTTATTCACAAGAAATTTTTCGTACCATCGTCCATGAAATGAAAACCTATGATGAGATTTCGACTCGCGAACCAGAAATCAAGTTGATCGATTAGCAAGTAAGGATCTCCCAGGTGGTATGAGCCACGTCTTAAAGGTGTGGCATTGCCTATATATATGTCCTTGTCTGACAATTTTTAAAATGAAAAGTTTGAATAGTTTTTGGAATTGAGTTAGCATAACTTAAATTCAACATTTTGTCAAATTTTTTATTTTTTCAGTATTTGGTGTTTTGCGTTTTAATAATATTTTTTATTTTTAAAAATATCAAAAAGTAAAACGAAACAATCGTGCCAAAATAAGTTTAAATTTTCGTTGAAAATTTTTAAGATTAAATCGTTCAGCAACAACAAATGATTGAATGAACGGACAACTAGCCTGAACCATTTTCTTGAAATCTTAAAAAAATGTTTTCAAAACTTTTCCCTCCAAACTCTTTAGCTTTCAAAATTTTGTTAACAAAGACAAGAAGGCCTCTATCTTCACTCCAACTGACATCCACTCTGTTGGACTCATTAACCAAAATTCCATCTTTCGAGGTAGCTGCATACCAAATCTTTTCCGCACACTTCACTCCAACGACTATGTTCATCGGAGATTTTGACAGTTTCACAAAATAATTTGGTGCCGAAATTATGAAAACATCTTCTTGCGGATATTTAATCTGTTTGAAAAAGACTGATATAGTGAAGCCATGCCGACAGTGCTTTATGTTCCCGAAGCACAGATCGTTGTGAGAGCCCAAATTGCCATATCCGGAGCTTGGTATCATTATCCCTTTCCATAACTTAGCGTCACCGTGTAGTTTAGGGTGCAAGTAAATTTTATTGTCGGTGATTTGGTAGAAAGTTGAAGAAGTTTCTGATGGCGATGAAGATGGAGGCGAGAAGAAGGTTGAAGATGTGGTGGGAGTATTTGATGGTTCTGTAAACTGAACTACAATGTGGTAGACGTCACTATCTGAAACGTATAATTCAAAACAAAGTTATTCAATTTTTTACATTAGAAGAAGACGTGTCGAAAAATGTAATTTAATTATAAACACAAATGATTTTCCAAATCACCTCTAGTTATTCTATCAAAATCTTGCAGTGACTGTTTGTCTTGAAACCACAATTCTACTTCATCTAAGAACAATTTTGTATCTTCAGACTTATAACTGTAACCATAGGAACCTGTTGTAGAGTGTTGCTGGGAGGTTTTATTGCAACCAAAACACAAAGATTTTGATTCTGGTTCTAAAGTTTCACTATCTTTTTTTTGGGATATAATTGGATAAGTTTTGTTAATTAAAATTTTGTCAATGTGAACTTCTAAAGCTGATTTTGGATTCCAGGATATCTCTAAAAATATCCAGGTGTCTAATGGAAGACTATTAACGTTAGCTGACCATTTTTTGTTTTTAAATTTGAACTCCGAGTACAACTTATTCATCTTGGAGACAACATCTCGCTTGCTTCTTCTGCTGTTGTTTTGAAATTTCGACTGGACCTCCATCAGACTCTTTCTCGAACGCCCAGTTAAATATTCAACATTTTTAGAATCCGTATCATTCTTATAATATATTTCGATATCATTATTTCGTATCAAATATCGAGATAAACTCGATGTCTCTTTGAATTTGAGCCACATAGAAATGTACATACCCAATTTGCAGGCTTGTAAATTAATGAGGCACATCTCACCTGACCCATTTATCGTCGGGAGCACATCCACCACCTGACCTACATTCAATCTCAGGGCATTGTCCACTTTCCCCGGGACTATGGCGGTTTCTTTAGTGACCGTTGCAACAAAATTATCGTTGTTTGTTGCTAGAGAATTGTGCGAGTCAATGGCGTCCATGTCTAAAATGAGTTTCTGGGGCTTTCCTATAAAGGTTGTTTGTTATTTTTCATTTCACTTTAATTTTAAAAATAAATTTTTGACCTCCATTAATTTCATCGATTTGCAAAAAAAACGATATTTAAATAAATAATTATAAGCTGAATAAAAACGAGCTGAAATTTTTTCAATTGACTAAAATGTACAGTCCAGCTTTGAATTAAATTGAATAAAATAATATCGTAATGCTAACAAAGAATAATATTAATAATGACAATTTAGCTAGCATCTCAATCAAATCGTAAAAACTGACCGCTGGCCACTACCTCTCCGATTTTCTTCAAAACCTCGCGGTGTCCATAACAGACACGCATGCTTTTCACAAATGTTTTTCCGCCCAGACCTCTCCAACGATCGCCATTGAACGTTCCGTAATTATTCCGGGTTGGAACTCTCCCACCTCCGTCAGAGGGAGGTGCAAATTTGGGTTGGTCCTGGATTTTTATGGTTCCGAAATTATTGCGGTTGATGTTTTTGCTTGATAGGTGTTTAATTTCATTAGATGTTTCTTGCAGTTTTTCATCTATGAAGAGCTGAACCGTCTGTCCGGTCGGTTGATGGTTGTTGTATGAGATCTGGTAATTTGAATTTGCAAGTTTTCTTAAATGGCGTGGGTTAAAATAAATGATAATACTAAAAAATTTTGACATAAAATTTGACATTACATTACTTTAAAAAAAACTAATAATGTTCGTTGCTCAATAAAAAAAATTTTTGATTTCATCTATTTTTCATAATCATTATTTAAAACTCACCTCAATGAAATGCCATTGATCGGATTTCAGCGAATCACGAGAAAGTACCTCCACGTTTGACGAATCAAATTTCAGACCTGCTAACACGTGACCCAATGACGTAACTGATACCTCAATGATGTCAGATATAAAAATAATCTTGAATGACGACGCTGATGATGCCGATGATGATGGTGATGATGGTGATGATGTTATTTTGAGCCAAAAAGAAACGTACAATCCATTCTTGCAACTTACAGGTTTGTTAAAACACGTGTTTGAAGCATTATTATTTTTATTATTAATATTATTATTAAAATTATAATAATTATTATTTTTATTGTTGTTTAGTAGGGTTTCGGCATACATATTGAAAGAATAATCACCGCTTTCGAGATGGCTTAAATCTTTCAAGTTGAATGTTGATGGGGACAACGACGATGATGCTGCCGGTGGCGGTTGCGATTTTTTTGTAACCAGACTGCAAAAGGCAGGGCCTACATACAATGTTTAAAATATCTGTCAAAGTTTTAACTACAAAATTAACGCATACCACCATTTTAAAATATTTTCAAACAAAAATTACAAAAAATTTAACATTGTAGACTAAACAAATACGAATAACATTATCAAACGGGAACATGACCAATGAACCTTTTTCGGCGATCTCACCCTCTTCAACCTCAACTGACCAGTATTTTAATTCGTCAATTAAAAATTCTCTTCCGCTAAAATCTTCATTATCACTGCGTGAATCACGTGATTTTATACGTCGTCCAATCACAAAGGCGTCCCAGATGTCTGCATCTGCTGATTGGCTAGCTCGTTGTTTTTTTACCCTTTGTGGAGGTTCTATTTTTAGCTCTTTATCTACCTGCCCGTCTATATACAATCTCAAAACGCCAGACGGATTCCACGTCAATGTCACGTGTTGCCATAAATGACGTATGAACGTGCCAGACTCTAGGGTTATCGATTTGTTTATATTGTGCGATGACGTCATTGTGATTGTTAGGACTTCCTTTTTCGGTTTCCAGATGATTTTAAATTTTTGATGGTTTTCAGCCGATGGGTCGATGGCGGGCGTTTGTTCGTCGTCTTGAATGGAATAGAAGCTGTCATCGTTGTCTACCTTATAATTATTGTTATAATAATTATTAAAATAAGAGTTATTATTGTTACTATTTTCATTATTATCATTATAATTATTTAACAAGGATGATGTGATTATCTCCATGTCGCTCAACGTTCGATTTTGTTGCTGGCTGCTATCGCCCTCGCAGCGGCTGCCACCACCACAATCTTTGACGATGTTCAACCAGAATGATAGGGTGTAGCCTGATTGACAAGGTTGGTTGTAATAATTATTATCATTTTAATATTATAATTTTAATAATAATTCATTATGAAATTTAATATTTATTCACACAACAACGGACCTTTTCCACAGAGAGCCAAATTTCCGAAGCATTCATTGGGCAGATCTAGACCTTGAATGATGACGTAATTTTCATTCTCAACCAATAGGAGTGCTTCATTTTTAATGGCGTCTTTTGAGAAGAATTTGTTAATCCTATCCTTCATTTTGCTGGAGGTGTGGTAGTTGTTATCGCTTTGGGCACTTTTTGAAATTTGATTTTGAGGGAATTTTTTTTCTTTCAGCTTCTTCTCCAGCTCAATGACAATCAATGTCGCCTGCATTTCCGTTGTATTGTAGAGAGTTCTTCTCAGAGTACTTCTACCGTAATTGTCCTGGCCAGTCTTATCGGCGGTGACGTATCGAATGACGTCAGCGTTGTTGTTGTCGAAGGTGACGTCATAATGCGTAATCGTCTCTGCGGTTGAGTGATTCATTTAGTTCATTCAAATGTTTTCAACTTGTAATACATTGATCATATTAATTGTATATTGTTCTTGAATAATTTTGTTAAAAAAAGAACCGAAAAAAGAAATTATATTTGTTAACAATTAATAATGATGATAATAGCTGTTGCAGTTGTAAATTTTATATTTGCTCTTTTCGTGAATATATCTACACGACACCGTTTGTTCTATAGGTGATTAAGCCTGCTAAGCAGAAACTGTTCAATCAATCAACAAGACAATTAAATAAACAATAAAACAATTATGTTACGTATCAATCATTTACTTTGTCAACCATTAAAACAATCACACAGCTACTCAACTAACCAACCAGCCAACTAACTATTGAACCAACCAACCAGCCAACTTACCAATGAAAAAACCAACCAGCCAACCAACCAACCAATGAACAAACCATCCAGCCAGCCAGCCAACCAATGAACAAACCAACCAACCAACCAGCCAACCATCCAACCAACCATCAACGCAGTGTCTCTGAGAGCAATCACAATCATGCGTATCATAGTCCATAGTTAGACATAAGCATCCTTTGGAACACAACCTCGTTTTGCCAATGCCGCTACTACTGCCACCACCACTGCTGCTGCTGCTATTTCCACTGCAGCTTTCTTTAGGAAAGTCCGTGAATCCAAAGCCATCAATCAAAATCGGCCTGACCATAGAACATGTACAGTTTTGAAATATAACATTTCTCAGGTAGCCTCTGAAAGAGAGATGTTCCAAGGCGGACGGTGTCGACAAAAGTTGCGGACATCTTCTCAGCAGCGGAGGCAGACCGGCGATGTACGAGTAACCGTAATAATTCAAATACCGATCTCGATTATTATACCGATAATGGTGATAAGGGCCGCTATAAAAGACATTGTTGTCCTGATCATAGCCACTATCGTCATCAATTAAGCATTGCTTGTAGATTCCGTTGAAATCTTTAATAACGGTTCTAGATTCTTTTACTTTAGAGGCATGAAATGGTGAAAATTCAAACAACTGAGTCATGGCCCCATCAAAGATGAGGTTGATTCTTGAGTTGTCTACCTTTAAGCCAACACTGTGCCACTTTCCATCGTTCAGCAGCACTGGACCGTGTGTGGCCCGTCTGCGTTTGTCGTCTCTGACGTTGGCCACCAAGTAGCCGGTGCTGTTGTAGTAGATCTCTACGTAGTCGATTCGGCCGTTGGCGATGTCGTCCTTGTAGAAAAGAAGGATGGTGGAGTTGGTGGGGAAGGTTGAGGTGGTCTTGAGGTCGATGCGAACGGAGCTGTTTGCATTGCAGTGGGTGGTCCAGGGCGGGTAGATCAGGTGGCTGGCGTCATTACCGTCCACGTGGAGAGATGTTGAGGGTGGCGAGTGGAGGGTTAGGATGAGGAGGATAAGAAGGACGTTTCGCGTTTGTGAGAAGGTAGTGGTGGTGGTGGTGGCGACGGCGGTGGTGGTGGTGTTGTGAGGAATGGGGAGGTTTTTGCCAGCTCTTATCGCATTTTTACCTCTACCCATTTTTGTCGTTGCTAACCATCGGTGTTGTTGTTCATATCGTGAACTTCATTGGCCAACTTTTTTAAGTTCACGTTGTAGTTGCGTTGTTGTTGTACGTGCTGTTGTACGTACGTTGTAGTTGCGTTGTTTTTTTTAGTTGATAACAGTCGTTCCTGAGCTTGTTGCTTTCATACTCTCTGCATGCACACCCATTTATCCGATTTTGAAATTGAGATGGTAATCTGTAACCTTAGTAACTTTTAATGTTATTAAAAAATTTGCTCAATTTATATAATTTATTTTAATTTTAAGAAGCAAATTTTTGTCTTAACTGATCGTATAGCGAAGAAATGAACAACGTAGAAGAAGACGTATTGAGATGAACTAATAACGAAAATGGAACTAGTCAGAAAAAATATTTTGTTTAGCTGGTTGTTGTTGCTGATGATGTAGTTGCTAATGTTGTTGTTGTTGATGATGTTAATATCTTGGCTGTTTCTGTTGTTGGTGTTGATGTTATTTTGTTGTTACTGTTGATGTAATTAGTGTTGTTGTTGGTTTTGATTTATGTTAGAAATAAAACACAAGTGTAAATATGTGTTTGCATATTGCATAGGCCGTATATGAACTCAAGGAGAAAATTTTTTAAAAAACATGCACATGCAAACGGATGTATTATTAATAATAACACATGTGCAAATAGTTTTATATGGGCATAAATGTATATATATATATATATATATATATATATAATATATATATATTTATGTATATACGTTTATATATATATATATATACAGTCAAATAAAATAAGTATAAATTGTTAGGAGAGATAGAACAAAAGAAAAAAGAATTAAGAAACGCATAAAAAATGACTACGTTCTTGGCATATTTACATAATATTTATGATCTACGATATGAAATTATATATAATATATAAATATATAATATGTACATATGTGTGTGTACATATATGTGTACAAATTATATATATGTATATATATATATATATATATATATACATAATATCAACGTATACCCATGGCTTATAACATACATATAATTACTTATTAACATATGCACCTTTCAACAAGCAAAACAAAAAATGTTAACGTATAAATAAACACATGGAAACAAAATTTAACACACACACACACATACGCAAACAAATACACACACACACATGCGCAAACAAACAATACCAGTTACATACCGACAGTACTATACCTTGCAAACATGTTTACACGTAATCCTATACTCTATGTAGCTAAAACATGCCACACTTACACACACACATACACACACACACACACTAACATACACACAAATGTATATTGTTTAGTTCATGATGTTTTTAAAATTACTAGGAATAGCATCTTCCATATAATATGCTGCTGTATTCTTTTCTTTTGTTTTGCTCATCTGAATGATTTCAATGCTTTATATTTGTTGTTCGTACATGTATGTATGTATGTAACGTGTGCATGTATGTATGTATCTACCACTATTGTCTATTGAAACTGTAATTTCCTTAGTAATAAGACGAATAAACATCAATGTAATATATTATTTGGTATACCATAAAAGCATTACCACTTTAATCCAGTATCATTATGACTTATAAATTTTTGTAAAATCGCCTTTTGTGATATTCTAGGTTGGCACTGTATGTGTATTTTACAAATGTTCATTGAAATAATATTCTTTCATTTTTAATTGTGTGTAAGGAGGCCAAATCTAGAAATCAGTTGGATGTCTATTGCTGAACAATCACCTCCTTTTATATTGAAAAATTGTGTAGACGTGAGTTTTATTGACAAGCTAAGTAAGACGCTAAGCCAAATCTGGGAGTGTTCAGTGAACGGAAGCCTTATGAGCAAGCACATAAGCTTTGAGATAATCCTTCCAGCACGCATCTACAATGAAAGCTTGTACCTCGTCTACCTGGATGATGATATTAACGACGGCTTCTTAAGATTTGCATTGCTGCATCACTGATCGACAGAAGTCAACGAAGAAACTAGCATCATGCACCTGAGCCAATCTACACTTCGTAAACTCAATAAAAAGAAAGCACTTGCTCTAAATGCCAACAAAATCAAGAAAAGACTTCGACGTCTGCCTATGGCTAAAGAAACTAAAAGAAAGAAAACGTGGAGTGACCCGAAAAGAAATAACGCAGGGTTCAAATGCAATGACCTAGTCTGGTTGTACAACCTACGGCGAAGAAAAAGGCAATGCCCGGCGAAACTCTCAAGGAATTGGAAAAATCGGTACAAAAGATACTCGGCAAAATTTTCAAAAAATTGGAAAGGTCGATACAAGATCACTAACAAGATAAATAGCGTGATTTACAGGACCTATGATCCTGGAAAAAAATGGACAATGATGGAAGTTGTCCAATTGAATGGATCATCCCTATCTACCGAAATAAAGAAGTAACGCCTAGGTTAGGGACTAACAGGCTAATGTGGGGGTAATGTTATAACCGCTGGAATAAAAAATTGCGTTATATCATTTGTTATTCTAATTATTGTTATCTTTACTATATTTGTAATCTTTGTATTGTAAGCCAGAGAGTGTAAAGAAATATTTTATCTATGATTATAAAATCAGTCTATATACACACCTACGTAAATCAGGTTGACAGTCAAGTTCGATAGGAAGTCGTAATTGTGATTTATGTAGTTATTTGGATTAGTTTATTGTCTCTATTACTGTTGGCATTCAAATAAACGTTCAATAAAGTTTGCGTTTGAAGCAGTTGTTTTCATTTATCGGAAATCTTAAACCTACGGAATTAACGAACTCTTGACGATCGTTGGAAGCTACAACACTGGTGTTGGAAATATAGAGATCATTGAAGTTGTAACGATGGTGTTGGTAGTTGCGAAGTCAAGGGTCACAACAATAATTACTAAATGTTCTTTATATATCAGTGAATTTGGTTTCGAATTCTTACAAAACCATTTAAACACTAAAGTTCTTATAATTTCAATTTATTATTTTTTAAATTTCAGAAGTTTTTTTAACTTACAAAATGAAAATTTATAAATAATTTTGATTCGTACAAAACAGATTCTTTTACTATGGAACATCTGTCGAATTAGAATAAATTACTTCGAAAAAATTCAATTTTTTATAAAAATTTTTATTCAAAACATTCTTTTTCAACAATAATAACGTCAAAAAGAGTTTTTTATATTTTAAATATTGAATTTCGAAAAACATGTATAATTTATATAGCGAAAATTCAATATTAGAAAAAACTTAACATCATAACTAAACAAAACATAGTGTTCAAAATAGATCACATTCATGTTCATTTTGAAACTCAAAGTTTCAAGCCTAATTTCATAGCTCGGTTGATACTTAAGATTAATTTTCTCTAAGAATCGCTTGCAAATAAGAATAAATTTGTATTTTTTATTATAATTCTAAATGCTGGGTGACGTGATGGTATAACGGTTTGATTTCTGACACCGTTGTTGTAGTAGCCGAATTCGACTGCAAACAAAATCCTCTGTGTCCAAATGTTTCAAACACACTGTGTGTCTGTGTGTTAATACTTCTAAAATGAAAAAAATACTGAAAAAATGTGTAATAGATAAATAATTTATTGGATAAATAAATAATTATTCAGATTGATTACTGACTTATCGAAGTAAATTTCTGGTTAAATTTTCAAATACAAATTTATTCATTAACATCAATGAAACGTGCTGAAACACAAACTCATGCCAAAACAAAAACACACGACCCATTTTAGAATAGTTATTATTATCACAAACAAAGAAAAAATTGCGTCACTCAGGATAAAAAGTTTTTGAAATGTGGCATTTGCTTATCGAGATATACAAAAATATACACCAGGATTGTCGTAAAATTAAATGTTAAATAGAAATTTAATTCATACTAATATTATTATTATTATTATTTGTATTATTATTTTTCACAAATGTTATTACAGTTTTTTTATTCATTTACTTTTAGGCGGGTGGTAGGATGGAAAATATTTTGACTCAGGAAAAAGCATACATTCTAAACAGTAGACATTTGATCAGATTTTAAGCTTATACACAACAATACAATACATCATTGTGCGTGTGCGTTGTGTGTGCGCGAGTGTGTGTGTGTGTGTTTTATGCGTGTATGTGTAAAATATAGTTAAACAAAATTAAATAAGGTCAAACGCATTGCATCAACAAAGCTTGAACACACATACACACACAAACGCGCACACACATTCATACACACACATTTCATATTTGGTATGTGCAAATTTAGATAAATATATATATATATTTAATTACAATTCTTTGTCTAAAAATATATTATATATAGTTAATGAAAAATCAAATGTTATTTTATTACATGATCACAACAAGTCACAGAATGAATAACTACAGAATTAAATATTAAATATAATTTCAATGTTAAAATTGGTTCATAAATTAGAAAAATTATAATTATAAATTAATAAAAATAAATTTAATCAGATTTTTATTGAAAAATTATATCCACAATTACTTCATTTTATTAGAAATCATTTTTCTCATCTTGTTAATCTAGAATTTAACAATAATTTTTCAATTTTTATTGATTTGTTATAACATAAAATTGATCAAAATTTCAAAATTTAAATCAAATTCTTCAAATCAACAATAAATGCCGAGGTCAATTCCAGGAGTTTGGGAGGGTGGAAGTCCCAAATCACCCCCATGGCTATACCTCCGATTCTACGCCTTTTATCTTATCATCCAGTCACCAAGAAAAGAGATTTTCAAATTTATTCGCCCAAATTTGAATTGCATATCAAAGTGAATAATTTTTTTCGTTTTCAAGATAGCACGGTGAAAAATTATTATAGGACATTATTAAATATAAATAAATAATAATAATAACGTTAAATAAAAGTAATAATAATAATGTTAATAATCATAACAATAATGACAATAGTAATGCATATATATATATACATATATATACATATATACATATGTAAATAATATATTTATATACATTTTGTGACACATATTTTATAATAATGCTAACACTTTTCAGTGTGTGTGTGTGTTGTGTGTGTGTGTAAGTATCTGTGTGTATTTATATATATGTATTAATTTATATAATACAATTACAAAGGATATTTGATTACAGATTTTAAATAAATATTTTCACAGCCAGACAAACAAAAACGCAAGAAAACGAAACCACAAAAAAGAGAACGAAAGTTGTATATACAATCCTCTATATATATATATATATATATGTGTGTGTGTGTGTGTGTGTGTGTGTGTGTCTGTTTGAGTGTGTGTGTGCGTGTGTATTCGTGTTTGTATATGTATATATATATAAATACAACACAAAAATTTGTTTCCCTCCGCTAGATGGCACGCGGTAGCTCGTACAGGTGACCGGCTCCCACCTTGTTTGCCGACGTCAAGAAAGTAATCGCCTGACAACCTACCTGGTTGCCATGACAACCTAAATTGTTGTTATTAGTGTTATTATTATTATTATTGTTGTTGTTCATGTTGTGTTTCATTTCGTTGTCGTTTCGTTGTTGTTGTTGTTGCTGACATGCGTGTTGCTGGCAGTGGCTGTAAGCATCTAGATAGGCCTGCCTGTTTAAACATGTGATAACGCAATGTTTTTATTGCGGTTTATGTTAAGTTTATTTTAATCTGATTGTGGCCATTAGCGAGCAACAAAAATCACTCTTGATTTAATTAATTTTTCAATTTACTCGTGTCATTCCTCCTTAATCCATTTAATTTCTTCATATCATTCGCATTAACCATTCATAAATTAATTAATTTTCAATCCGGGCTAAAAATTGAAAATTATTTTAAAAATTTCACTCTTAACTTGATTGTATTCTCACAAATCACATGAAAAAAGATAAAAGCAGTCAACCCTGCACGCACGCACACATACAAACACACACACATACAAACACACACACACATACATACAAACACACACACACACACACAGAAACACACATAGTGACACACACTCTCACACACACACACACACACATACATACATATAAATGGCGACCAACCCAGAGTGCATTTTACAGCCGAAACGATCAAAAGTGCTAGACGAGATGGTTGGTGGTATAGGGGCATATGAAGCGGTCTCATTGTAAGCAGGGTCAAGGACATCCGGTGTCGTCATTATTATCGGGTAGCTGCTGTGGTTGTTGTTGTGGCTGCTGTCGTCGTTGTCGTTGTTATGGTTGTAGGTGGTGGTCGCCGAGAGGAATTTTTCGCAGTTGACGTCGTTGTTTTGAACTCTGTGTTGTTGTTTGTTTGTTTGCTGGTTGATTGATTGGTTGGTAGGTTAATTTTTGTTGAAATATTTTGAAATTTGTGGTTTTTTTATTATTTGTTGTTAAAACGATTAATTTTATGTTATTGTATTTTTTATTGATTTTGTATTTTAGTAAACTTTTGTGACTGATTCATTTATTAGTTGTTGTATCTGCAATATCTGTTTTGCAATGTTTTGTTTTATTTCGTTTTGTTTCTCTCTTGTGTTTTGGTTGTTGTTCTGGCTGTTATGATGTCAAACATGTTTGTTGTGCTATGTTTCGATTGATGTTTTGTGCTTGCGCATACTAAGTATACACATTTGTATCTACGTTTCTGTTTGTGTGTATGTGTGGGTATGTGTGTGTTTGTGTGTGTGTGTGTGTGAGTGTATGTGTGAATATGTCGAACATATCAACAGCATATCTGTCATTGCATAAATTTTTATTTCTTTCAATGTTGTTGGTTGTTCTTTCTGTTTGATGTATATTTTTTTAAGTGTTGTTTTGCTGTTTTTCTTGTTTTCGTTGTTTAATTTGTTGTCAATTTTTTCTTCAAATGCTACTCTGTTGAGTTTTTTTTCAATTTTTTGAGATGACTTTTCGACGTTATCGCTGAGAATAATCTGCAACAAAAACAAGCAAACAACAACAGCAACAACAACACCTACAACAACAAAAACAACATCAACAACAACATAATTTCATTCTTAACAAGAGAAATAATAAAACCACTACCAACAACAACAACAACAACAACAAAAACAAGACGTCATTCTTAACAACATAAATAATAAAACCACTACCAACAACAACAAAACAGAACATGTGATCGGCATGACAAAATGAAACAGTTTTTGCAGTAGCAAATTTTATAACCAAATGACAAACATAAGCAAACAATACCTCAAAAAAAGAACAAAAAACAACGTTATAGACAACAACAAAAACAAAAAATTATAAATTTGACATCAAGATTAACAGCATGAAACAGAGCGCTCACATAAACAACGGAAATCCCGACAGAAAAAATTCTTAAAAGTTTACAAATAAGGAGAATAATAAAAGTTTGACGGTATTAACTTTTCAAATTGCACCACCATAGAAAAAACAGCATTGATGACGTCAAAAGCATTAACAAAGAAATAGAAACGTTATTTGCACCGTAAACAACAACAGCATTAACATAGATATGACAATATTGAAGGCAACGACAATAAAACATAAACAAAATAAACAACTACAACAACAATCACAACAACAATCACAACAACAAAATAATAGGAATAATAACAGGAATAGCAACAATAACGCGGTCATCTTAATTCATGTCATTCCATTTCACTCTTTTCAAAACAGTTGCAAGACATAAGCAAGCAAAATCTCTCTTTTCATTCCTATCTCTCTCCTTTCTCTTTCTTCGTTTCTTTCTCTCCTCTCCTTTTTTTTGCTTTTCTTCCTCCTCTTTTTCTCTTCGTTTCTTTCTCTATTATTTTATCTTTTTTTACTCATCCTCTTTTTTCTTTCTATTCTTCTTATTCGTCTTTACGACCTTTGTTTTTCATTTCCCACTCCCCTTCTGTTTCTCTCTCCCTTTTTGTTTCTCTCTCTCTCTCTCTCCCTCTTTCTGTTTCTCTTTCGTTCTCTGTTTTTCTCGCTCTTTGCTTTTTCTCATTTTACTTTCCATACTTCCTTTTAATTTTATTTTTACCTCAGAACTTTCGTTTTCGTTCGTTTTGTTGTATTTCTTCATTTTTTTAACAGCAAAAATTAGTACAAATTCTACTGCTATTTAAACGAATGAACGCAACAATTGAGTCAATTATTGTGTAAATTTCATTTATTTCAAAATAAAACTACTTACTTTTTTTCTACTTTCGCACTTTCTCTCTCTTTCTCTCTCTCTCTCTCTCTTTCTCTCTCTCGCTCT